CCGATGCGGGTGTATATCAATGTACCTGTCTCTTATACACATCTAGGCGGGGTGGGGGTGGTGGGGTGTGAGGGCATAAAATCGATTAAATAAGCCTCTGAAACCCTTAAATCTTCATATTTTTCGGGGGATCGCCCTCTTGACCACTTTCGACACATTTTGAACGAGCCCGACCACGCCCATCTCGCCCCCAGCATATTAAATTTTACCTTTTCCCTCACTGCCCCACCCCAGATTTCAGACGTCCATCAATTATTCTTTCATTGATTATTATATTAACTTACTAAAATAGTTATTCATTAACTTTCATCTTGTTACATCAAAGATTTCAAAAAAATGCAAAAGGCGCCGGCAAGGTAAGACTACTGTTAACTAATTTCAATGAATTACACACACAGCCAACACACACCCACAAATAATATGACTAGCCATATATAAGTAAAAATAAAGTGATTTAAATGTTAGCATTACAGAGTTTACCAAATAGTTTCCACTAATTTATCACCTTGAAAAGAAGTGCTGATTTTACTGACTTATCAGATAATGTAAGATATTTCTGTTGTCATTTTTCAGGAAACGTCTGCCTTCTCTGCGACCAATGAATATGCAGATTGGGGTTGATACTAATATTTATTCCGCAATGTCCCTTAAATCTGAGCCACCTAACAATAAACCGGGACCATCATACTTTGTTCTCGATGAAAACTATTACGATATCAAGAAAAACGTATGTTATGATTTCTTGGCTAATATGAAGTTGGTTCAACATTATTAGACGCAAAACCTACTTACTGTAGTTATAACTGTACTTCTTGTTTTCATTTAAGCCTATCTGTTTTGTTCATATATTTTTGCAAAGGGCTACAATTCGTAAAATGTTGAATATAAGTATAGAGTATGCAATATATAGACCTATATATATAATATTATATATAATATATATATATATATATATAATAATATATGTTATAATAATAACATATTATTATAATATACATATTATTATTTGTATATGTATATTATATATATTATATATATGTAATAATAATAATATAATAGATATATATAAGATAAGATACATATAAGATATATATAATATAGATTATAACAGATAAATAGGCAAATATTGAGCGGAGGTAGCTTGGTGGTGATATGATAGCCTTCAAGTCCCAGGGTTCTCATTGCTTTTTACGAATATAAAATAACTCCCTCTGCTAGCCTATTAGGAAACGCTGTTTATTTATAAAAAGATGTAAGTGGTAAGTGAAAGAGTTAGTTTCACATGGCAATACTGTATTAGTTTCTATTTGCTGCGTAATATTGCTATGTTTGTTGCAATAAAAAAAAATATGAAAAAAGTCCTGTTTTAAATTTGTCATGTAATATATAT